CTTCTGTCAGTTCTGCCTGAGCCTCCTCAAGCTATGTCGAAAGGAGAGCTCACAGTGGGGCAGGCGGGAGGGAATGCGTGCCTGCACAGAAGACACTTGATGAACAGCAGTTCCAGGTAAGCGCAAACCCTGTTTTCATCTTAGGTCGTCTGTGCAGTCCCACATGGGGATTCTAGCAAGCTATTCACCAAGGAGGTTCTGTTTCACTGGAACAAGGATTGAAATACTGTCCTTCCAACTGATGCCTCTCTTCTCACATGCAGTCCAAGTCATCATGTTTCGCAAAGGTGTCAGCCAAAGACCATTCGTGGTTTGTCAAGTGTACTCTGTTGAGCAGATCTGCCTGTACATTCTGGATACCTGCAATATGGATAGCTTGAAGCAGGACCTTGTGTTTCAAAGCATAGATTGCCAGATTGTGGTGACCTCTAGACGCAGATGTCTTGAGCCTGTGCCATCCTGTTTGTTTAGATAAAACATGGCTGACATGTTGCCTGTCTGGACAAATACGGTTTTGCCACGCAGGATATCAGTAGATGCAATAAGTGCATATCTTATTGCTCTGAACTCCAGAACGTTAATATGCAGTTTCTTATTGGACGGTAACCGTTATATAAATCGCAAATGTAATGTAACCATGTGCCTTGTATGGAATACCCTTGGTAATGAGTTCACCAACCAATACTTGAAGCGTCAATAGTGACCACAGTATTGTGTGAAAATATTCCAAACAGAGTCCTCATAAAAAGGTTTTCCATGTTAGACCACAAGTTGAGTGACTTAAGAACCACTTGCGATAAAGAGAATCTCTTATGTGGGTGGTGTACCTCAGATCTAAAGTGGTTTTACAAACCATAGTTGAAGTGGATGCATGAAGAACCTGGCTAAAGAGAGCACAGCTGTTGTGGACATCATCAAGCCAAACAACCGTTGGACCCATCTAGCATCCTGAAAACGATTGCTTGTGAATCGAGTGACCAAAGGCCAAGTGGCAAATCCCCTATGAATTGAATAGATTGAGATGCACTGAGTTTCGACTTTTCCCAATTAATAACCAACCCCAATTTGTTACAAACATGGACAATCATGACTAGATTCTCCAACAACTTGTCCCAAGAAGGGCAACTACTAAGCAGTAATCAGGTACAGGTATATTGTACAGCCTTGTAGTTGAGGAAGACCACCACTGGGGCCATACATTTCATAAAAATTTGTGGGGCAGCTGCCAGCCCAAAGGGAAGCACTGTGTATTGGAAGACCTTCCCCGCGTAACTGAATCAGAGAAACTTTCTGTGGTCTCTGTGAACAGAGATGTGGAAATAAGTAAAGGTAAAGATTTCTCTTGCTCAAAAGCTAGTCAAATCCCCCCCCCCAAAAAACTTGTAACTGTACATAATAGCCTGATAGTTAGAAATCCATAAATTAAGTGCTGAATAAATCTTCCTCCCTGGGGCATCCGTTACCCAAACTGAAGCATTGACTATCGGCCTCCCCACTTCATTTCTATGCCGTGGCAACACTATACTTATTTTATGTCCCCAGCATACTTACAACAATGGGGAGATTATGTTAAATTGGTTTCAAGACCGGATCCGGCTTCTATCCACCCCCCTCATGCATGGAAACCTTCAGTTTTGGTGAAAGTTGCAGCACCACCAGCAATCTCTTACATGGATCCCATGTTCGAATCTGATTGCTGGTGGTGCTGCAACTGCTTCAGTTTGGGGAATGGTTCTGAGGCTGGAACCAAGTGAGACCGGTGATGTTTTGGATCCAACTTAGTGGGCTCTTTGTGCTTTTTCTTGGAGTCAGACTTTTTCACTGGCAGTTCCAACAAACCCCTCGAAGCAAGAAAAAGCAAGACCGAATTCAAGCCTCTTGTGGCGCCAGTCCCTAAACAGCTGGGGTGGACTTGGGAGAAGCCACTGAAGGTGGTTTGGGAGGTTTTTCAGGCAAAAATGCAGATTTTGCAGGCAAGTCAGAGGACAAAAGAGCCTTCTCCCAGAGGGCAACTTTTAATTTAGGTGCCCTGGTGCTATGAGTTTTCTGTGTAAGCTGTTAACAAGCCTTACATGCAGCGATATTCCCCCCTTCTCCCAAGCAAAGCAAACAGTGGCTATAATAATCACTTTGAGTCATTTTAGCTCTGCGCTGGGAGCATTTTTTAAAGTGACCTGTTGTGTATCAACCATGGACCGCACAGGTGGTTGGGTTCGCACACGGTCATGTGAAATAGCTAAGCTTTGCTTGATAGACAGTAGCCGGCTAGGATCCGGGAACGGACCAATCGGCCACCCCGGATCTGGGAGTAGACCTATGGGTGTTTGGACACTGTAAATAGCCTATCACGTGTGTATGTGTGTGTGCTGGGTGTGGTTTGTGTTGGGGATTTAAGTAGGACTCTGGCCCTGCTAATTGGTCTTATGTTCGTGCTTGATAATAAACAATGAGCTGATTTCACTGTCTACAACTTCGAACCCGGTATATTACATGACCTTTCTAGGCCATTTTGTGAAAGCGGCTGCCCACGTCAGGGGGTAGGGTTGACAAGCAATCCATTCCTCAGAGCAAGAGAGAAAACGCCAATAAGATGACAAAGTTCTTCCAAGACTGATTGTCAGCTCTCAGTCTCTCATTTCCGTCATTTGAGTAGAGCAAAGAAGAAATTCCGAAGGAAAATGATTGAGTACAGAGTAAGAGATGGTATAGTGAGCCTACTCTATCAGCGATGAAGAAGGAACTGAGGGAAGAGGGCGCCACTCCCTTGGACCACATGGCCATTTAGGCGGGAAAGCAGTTGCCATAGCCCCAGGGGAAGTTTAAGCTAGGAAAAACCAGCTCTGCAGCAGTTCTGCACATTGGGACTGCACAGAAGACCTAAAATTAGCCAAAATAAAAGTTATGTAACATTTGAGATGCCTGAGACAGAAAGGCATATGTTTTCAACAACCAGCACAGCAGAGGAGGAGGAGGAGAGTTGAATTTATACTCTACCCTTCACTCGAAGTCTCAGAGTGGCTTATAATCTCCTTTCCCTTCCCCTCCCCACAACAGACACCCTGTTAGGTAGGTGGGGCTGAGAGAGCTCATGAGAGAACAGCTCTGAGAGAACTTGTGATTGACCCAAGGTCACCCAGCTGGCTGCATGTGGAGGAGTGGGGAATCAAACCTGGTTCTCCAGATTAGAGTCCGCTGCTCTTAACCACTACACCAAACTGGCTCTTAGGGCTAGATTAGTCCTAAGGACCATGACAGGAACTTCCTTAATTAAAAAATAAAAACTGAAGCTCCCCTGAATTAGACTCCTTTACTCTCCCTACAAAAGAGCATATGAAAAATGTGGTTGTACAGCTATTGAACTGCTCAGCTGGGACCAAGCAGAACTGGATGGATGTACCTAATTATGTAGACTTGCAGGGAGGCTTTGGACACTTCTGGTACAGTTTTTTAGTTCCAAAGAGAATTTTGGGGAGCATTCCTTATAGCAGCATAGTATATATGACGTCTGCTGAAGGCCACTACCGCCTGGTTCCAGCAAGACCCCGCCACAGAAAAAAGACCTACGCTGCTTAGGTGCCTGGTAAGGCATCCATTTCCCCTGATATGTGTGTGGCCTTAGTTAGGTGATTAAATGTATATGTGTAAACTGCTCTGAGCCTCCGGGAAGGAGTGGTATAGAAATGTAATGTAATAATAATAATGATGATGATGATGATGATGATGATAATGATAATAATAATAATAATAATAAAAAATATGTGTGTGAGAGAATTTATGTGTATCGAAGTGCTGTTTCCCTTGCAAATGTGCCACCAGTAGCTCAAGGTGCCCCACATTGCCCTGACCTGGACAGCCCAGGCAAGACTGATCCCGTCAGATCTCAGAAGCTAAGCAGGGTTGACTGTGGTTAGTACTTGGATGGGAGACTTCCCTGGAATATCCTCCAGGCCCCCAGTAGGGGTCAGTCACCAGAGGTCAACATGACTTCCAGGTGCAGACGCACACCCGTACACACACACACACACAAATACAAAAAAAAAAAAGGGCACCCCATGTTTGTTGTGCAGAGTGCAAGGGATCCCTATGGGCAGGTACTGGGCACCTGGGCTCGAATGCACAGCTCAAAAGAAGCAACCCTCAGTTACCCCACATTTAAAAATACCTAATGTTTGAAAAAAGTATCAAGAGAGAGAAAGAACGAAACTAGACAATCGAAGTAAAGCTAAGGTTACCCCAGCTCCCAAAGAAGGTGGAATCTGTAGTTCCCCATTTCTTTTTGTTTCCCTTGTACCTGTTTCTTCTTCGACAAATTCTGCAGAAAGGCCGATCATGGTCCCAAAACCTTTTTGAGTCACATTCATTTCAGCCATATGAACAGTGAACGAGGCACAGCCACTCTTGTCTGTCTAGAAATACAGAGGAGAAAACGCACGTGAGCAAAGATATGGGGAGAAAAAAGGGGCCAAGAGAGGTGAGAGCTGCTGGAAATGAAACATGTTGGTTGCTGGAGAGGGAAATATGTTACAGGTGTCTGTATACCAATACCGGATGCCTCTCAGCCAAGACGGGAGAGTGTTTGGTGCTAAATGACAATTTAGACCTAGGGTTGCTAACCCCTGATGGGGGCAGGGGTTCCTCTGCTTTCGGAGGGCCCGATCTGCCACCGGCCAGGTGGCTGGTGGGGGGAACCCCACCCCCAAAGAGCTCTGTTGTGCCCAGTGTGCCAGCACAATGACATCACCAGGAGGTGATATCATCGCACCAGGCACATTGTGCGGGAGACGTTTTAGCATTTGGGTAAACACTCTATGGTGACCATAGAATTTTTTACTCAAATGCTAGAGCATCTCCCACACAATGTGTCCAGCATGATGTCACTTCTGGGTGATGTCACTGTGGTGCGCATGCCTGAAGAATCCGGGAGCCAGGCAGGAGCCCCCTGGCAGGACACGGGTAAGACCTGGCAACCCTATTTAGACCAGGGGTCCCCAACCTTTTTCAGCCTGCGGACACCTTTGGAATTCTAACACAGGGTGCTGGGCACAGTGACAAAATGGCTGCCACAGGAGGAGGAGCCAGTCACAAAATGTCAGGGAGTGAGGTTATGCATAACTCTAATAGTAACTCTTCAACATTTCAGACACAAGCTCTGCTTGACAGGATAACTTTTAAAATGAATGTATTGTTTTAAAAAATCCACATTCATCCGTAAAACTATGAGGAACCACACCCCTGGTTTTAACATAGGGAGTACGTCCATCCTAGGCATACCGGTCTCAGATTGAGAGAACTACAGAATTGGTTCCTCAGAGTTTTTCGGATGAATGTGGATTCTCCTGCAGATTCTCCATCCCTAGGAAGATACTACAGTCCTTGCATTGGTGGATCTGCAAGGCCAATCTAACCAAGGAGATGGCTTTCAGGCCCTGAAAACATAACATAACATGCAGGTTTTCACTGATGTCTCCCTCACAGGGTGGGGCTCACTGTGGTTGCCAAAACTTATTAGGCCAGTCAGTCATGTGAAAGATTTTCCTTTTCCAGTTTGCTTCATAGGAGGACTGGATTGAGGCTTCTCCCAATGCTTATGCTGACTCTTCTTGCTCTGCTGGCCCTGCGGGACGATAGGACTGGAAATGCTCTTAGGCTGGCTGGTGGCAGTATATCATATAAAATTGACCTGAATGCCATGGGGCGGTCAGGCCGAGAGAACTTGCTGTAGGCTTGTTCTTCCGCACCTGCTCTAGAGTGGAATCAGTTTGGCTGCAGGAGGGCACATCCTCGACCTTAGATTTGGTGTCTGTAGGAAGGGCGGGTGATCTCAACAATGAGTGGCACCACAGGACAATGCCGTACACAGCAGCTGTTCAGGATATAGACACAGGTCCTCAGTAGGCGATACTGGGGACCAGCACCCTACGGTGTGGTCAGGGGATGTGATGGAAAGGGCATCGGAGTCGATGTCAGATCCATGACCAGTCAATTCCTCGGGGTTGGATTCATATTGAACAGACACAGGAGAGGGACACTGAGCGCCCATCAACGCTGAGGGAAAGGTTCGCTGATTGGTTCTGATGGCAGACGGAGGCATGGTCCACGGAGGCTGTTGCCAAGTTCTTTGAGGGTCCCGTTGACTCCATGGGGGAGGGCACAAAGGGAACCAGGGTGCATATTGAGACCCCCATGGGAAAGTAGATGAGGATTGGCCAGAAGAATGTCCCCCTCGGTCTTTAGGTCTGCCCAGTACAGTGCTGTCTGAAGGAACCAAAACCTCAAATACCTCATCATCCAAGAGAGGCAACCAATGGATCTGAGTGAACGGAGATGGCATCTTCGGTTTCGATGCAGTTTCTCTCAGAGCTGGTGATCGGCGTTGAAGGGGAGATGGAGATCAGTGCCAAGAGGGAGAGAGGAAGGAGATGCCCAGTGACAGGGTGACATATGCTTTCCCTTCTTTTTCTTTTTCGGCTGCGGCTCCAATGCCGCCCTTGAAGTCAAGGAGTATTTCGACAGCTTCCTGGATATTGGATCTGATGAGGCCGAGCTGGGCATGGATGCAACTAAGGGTGTTCAGGTGGCTTTTTCAGAAGTAGGCTGGCATTTTTCACCAGATGGCGTTTGAGCCCCCAAAGCCAGTTCCCACAGGCCAGCCTTTAATCTTTGGGCCCTGTCCTGCCTGGCCTTTGGAGTAAACTGTTGGCAGAATTTACAGGCCACTGTATTGTGCAACTCACCCAGGCATAGTAGGCGCGATGCATGATTATCAGACGAGGCTATCTTCATGCTGTAGTCTATGTTGTTGTTGTTGTTCAGTCACACAGTCGAGTTCAACTCTTCATGACCCCATGGACCACATCACCCCAGGCCGTCCTGTCCTCCACCATCCTCCGGAGTTTGCTTAATTTTATATATATGTAAAGCGCCATTGCACTTTTATTAATCGGATATATCAACACATTCAACACATTCAAAAATACATTTCTTCTTTTCAACATATACCCTTTTCTACTTTCTTCTACCCCCCCTTCTCGGCCTCCTGCAGTGCTCCCACCCCCTTATACAGATCAATTCTTAGTTCACCATCTTTTACAACCCCTCTTACTAAATTCTTAACAGGTAACATTATAACATTATACCATTTTTTCATTCTACTACATACTGTTCTTAATAATTGTCAAAGCAAAGTAAATTATTTTTTACATCCCAGTTATTTTCAATATATTTTTTAAAGTCAATCCATTCTTCTATAAATTCTTGATCCTCTTTGTTATTAAGTTTCCTTGTCAGTTTATCCATTTCAGCCATAAAAAGCATTTTCTTTATCCATTCCCAGATTTCTGGTACCCTATCTTGTTTCCAGGATTGCGCATACGTCATTCTGGCAGTAGTAATCAAATACCACAACAATGTTCTTTTAGTCACATTTACCTCCTCCATCTTGAGCCCTAAGCGTAATATTTCGGGTTCTTTCTTAAAGGTCGATTTCAAAATCTTTTGCATTTCGCTATGGACTTCGGTCCAAAAATCTGCAGCTTTATCACAAGTCCACCACATATGGTAAAAAGAGCCCTCATGCTTTTTACATTTCCAACACATATTCGACATATTCTCATTCATATTAGCTATTTTTTTAGCGTCATATACCATCTATACATCATTTTATAACAATTTTCCTTCAAATTATTACAAGTCGAAATTTTCATTGATTTTTTCCATAAACATTCCCAAGATGACATAGATATTTCTTTATTCATATTTAAAGCCCATTTTATCATTTCCTCTTTTACCATTTCATCCTCTGTATACCATTTTAACAACACTTTGTATATCTTTGAAATCATTTTTTTCCCTTTTTCAGCCCACACACATTCCCTTTCATTTTTTTTCTCTCTAAAGCCATAACATTTTTGCAGTCATAAACAAATCATATATCTGTCTGTAATTTAACCATTCATATTCAAAGTCTAACTCTTCTCTAGCTTTTATCACACACTTTCCCCCTTCTACATTCAAAATGTCTCTGTAAGGTAACCAATCTTCGACTTTATGTCTTGAAAAAGGTTTAATTACTTCAGCTGGAACAATCCATAAAGGTCTGTCCTCAAAAAAGAACCTTTTATATCCAAGTCTCGAACAGTGATCTTCTTATATAGTGATGTTTGAAAAGATTGTCCGACTTTAGTTTGTCATACCATAAATAGGCATGCCAACCAAATTTACTATCATACCCCTCTAATGCCAACAATTTTCTATTTTCTAAATTGACCCACTGCTCCAACCATGTCAAACATACCGCCTCATGGTATAGTCTAAGATTAGGTAACTGAAAACCTCCTCGTTCCTTTGCATTGCACAAAATCTTCATTTTAATCCTAGGTTTTCTTCCCGCCCACACAAATTTCAACAACTCCTTCTGCCATAAATTCAACACTTTGGTGTCCTTTACTATTGGAATAGTTTGGAACAAAAACATCAGACGAGGCAATACATTCATTTTCACCACTGATATTCTTCCCATCAATGATAAGTTCATAGTATCCCATTTTTAAAAGTCTTGTACTATCTTATTCCAGAGCTTTTCATAATTATTCTTAAAAAGATCAATATTTTTCGTTGTCAAGTCAATACCTAGATACTTAGTCTTTTTAACTACTTCACATTGTATTTCCTCTTGCAAATCCTGTTGTCTCTTTTTCGTCATATTTTTACATAACACTTTGGGCTTATTTTTATTCACATAGAATCCAGCCAAGTCTCCAAATTCTTTTATCTTATCCATAAGCAACGGTAGATTATCGATTGGATCTTCAACCAAAAACATCACATCATCTGCAAAAGCTCTGTATTTATACAAAAAACCTTTTAATGTAAGTCCTTTTATATTCTTATCATCTCTTATTTTTTTCAACAACACCTCTAAAATCCAGATAAACAGTAATGGAGATAACGGGCAACCTTGCCTCGTCCCTTTTTGGACCTTAAATTGTTCTGTCATCTCCTTATTTACATTCAGTGCCACTCTTTGCTCTGTATATATCGCCTTTATTAAATTTGTAAAGGATTGTCCAACCTCCATCTTTTCCATTACTTGAAACATAAAGTCCCAATTTAAATTATCAAAGGCTTTTTCAGCATCAACAAACAAAAAACCCACTTCTTTCTCCGCGTGTTTATCGTAATACTCAAATGCGTCAATCACCATTCTTAAATTGTCTCTAATTGGTCTGTTTGGTAGAAAACCGGCTTGCTCTTCTGTTATTATTTCATTTAAATATTTCTTCATTCTTTCTGAAAGTATTTTAGCGAACAGTTTATAATCATTATTAAGAAGAGAAATCGGTCTATAATTCTTCACGCTTGTTAAATCTTGTCCTTCTTTGGGTATAAGTGATATGTTGGCTTCCTTCCACATTTCAGGCACTTTTTGGGTATCCCTTATCTCATTCGACAAAAGTTCAAAAATCGGGGTTAGCTCCTTTTTTAGTTTTTTATAAAATTTTGCAGTAAATCCTGGAGCCTTCCCCAACTTTGCATCTTCTATCGCCAATATTATCTCCTCTTTTTGAATCGGGCCATTCAACAACTCTTTACTTACTGGTTGCATCGTTGGTAAATCTACTTTTTCTAGATACTTCCCCCCCCCCCCGGGGGTATTTTCTTTTTTTGAAACAGTTTTGCATAATACTTTTAAAAAGCTCTCTTAGTCCATTTGGGTCCACAATTTCTTTATCTTCCTCTATTATTTTGTTTATTATCCTTCTCTCTTTTCTGTTCTTCAATTGCCAAGCCAAAAATTTACCTGGTTTGTTTGCTCCTTCAAAAGACTTTTGTTGCAGTTTCTTTAAATTCCAATACATTTTCCGATTGAGAGTCACATTAAACTGGTCTTGTAAAATTTGTATCTCCTTAATAATTTTCTTTTAACCTATTTTTTTCTGCAGTTCTTTCTCCTTTTGCTGAATCTTATCTTGTAAATCAGCCTGTTGTTTAATTCTTTCTTTTTTATCTTTGGCATTTAACGAAATAAGTACTCCTCTCATTACAGCTTTATATGTATCCCATACCGTCTGAATATTCGTCCCTTGGTTCAAATTCATCTAAAAAAAATCTGTGTTTCCTTATGTAGTAAATCGACCATATTTTTCTTCTCCAATAAATCTTCATTTATTCTCCACTGAAACTGTCTGTTCTTCTCTTTTGATATCCAAATTAACGGGTTATGGTCCGAGTTAGACCTTGGTAGGATTTCCACCTTTTGTGTTTTCATAGCCATCTCTTCTGACATCCAAATCATATCTATCCTCGAAAAGGAATTATGTCTATTAGAATAGAAAGTAAAGTCTTTAATTTTCGGATTCCATTTTCTCCACACATCGTCCAGTTTTTCTTGTTCTATCAATTTTAAAAAGTTTCTTGGTAGTTTTCCAATCTTCTCATCAATTTTCTTGTTAGATTGTCGATCCAGTTGATTATTTACAGTACCATTAAAGTCTCCTGCCAAGACCATTTGTTCATAATTCACTTGGTCCAGTTCCTTCGTCAAGTCCTTAAAAAAATTTTCTTTTACACCATTCGGTGCATATACATTAACAATTAAAGTTTTCTTCTGGTGCATCAATACTTCCACTCCTACATACCTTCCTTCTTTATCACTAAAAATTTCTTTTGGTTGAAGTTCCTTTTTGACATAAATCACCATTCCTTTTTTCTTTTCTGCAGCCAATGCACAAAACTCTTCTCCTAATTTTTTGTTTATCAGGAATTTACTGTCCTGCTTTTTAATATGTGTCTCTTGCAAACAAATTATATTACATTTTTGTTTCTCCAACCAGTGCTTTACTAATTTTTTTTATTAGGTGAATTAAGTCCATTCACATTCCAAGATAAAAATTTGTAATCCATGATGCTTGATTTTATATGTCACCAAAGTCCTCTAAATTGTCCGCCTTAAACCTGAACATATCACTCAAAGTCTTGATTGTTTATCTTAGCGAATGGTAATTAAAAGACAGACTGTTGTGAGAAAAATGTGTGTGGCTGCACGTGTCTGTGAATGCATGTTTACCCGTGTCACCCACACTCTCCCCTCAGTTCATGTGTCTCCTGAGTGTTGTCTCCTTACCAAAGGCAGAGGTATAAGCTTGGAAACCACTCAGCGCTGCCAGAGACACAGAAAGGTCTCTTCTTAAAATAAAACTTATCTTTATTAAAGAAAAACACTTTTTAAAAAAGATTCTTATTTATACAAGGTTTTTCACAACAATGTATACTTCGTCATATTAAATTATACATATCATTAGAGTTGATAGTTCATTTTTTCATCTATTTACAATGTATAAAAACACCTTATAACATTCTCAATCTGTTTGACGATCTAACCACTCATATACCCTAAACCACCTTTGTTCTTGACATTTTGGGTCTTTATTTTGTAATATTAAACTCAAATTATCAATTTGAGCTTGTTCCATAAGTTTAATTTTTAAATCCTCTTTCGTGGGAACTGTATATGTTTTCCAATTTCTTGCCACCAAAATACAGGCCGCAGTTACTATGTATACTAACAAATATTTATCATGTTTTTTGTACCCTCTCGGGATTATATTAAATAAATATATTTCGGGCGAGAATTCAATCACTATATTCAGTATTTCACGAATGATATTTTGCACCATTTTCCAGAACTTACGTATTTTACAACATTCCCACCACATATGGTAAAACGTCCCCACATTTTTTTTTGCATTTCCAGCACCTGTTAGATGCTTGAGGATAATATCTTGCCATTTTATCTGGGGACCAGTACCATCTGTGGTACATTTTATAGATGTTTTCTTTATACGCAATAGCTCTCATGAACTTAATTCCAGACCTTATTTAAGGCTCTTCTTAACACACGATGTTTAAATATAGAGTGCACTTTATCCTTGCCATACCAGATGTTTGAATGCCACCCCATAGGCAGGTCGTGACCTTCTAATGACAATGTTCTACTGTCTTCCAAGGTTATCCATTCCTTAATCCACACTAGTGCCGCCTGGTAGTTGTTGGATCCCCAGGCATTCAAAATAACTCCACGTTTGAATCAAAGCAAGGTTTATTTCAAAGCGATGGTTCATGCAAGAACAAAGACATTGTTAGGAATAACTACCAATACACATGTGTAACATAATAAAGGGATTTGAACCAGGTTAGGGCCAATGAGCCCAGTTCCCGCTGGCGGGAATAGAACCTGCAAACGCGCGTCCATTCCATGGGAACATAACAGTTCTACACAATCAACACAAGTTCAGTTCACAGGCTAGATACCCATAACAAGCTGAGCGAAGCACCGACTCCCACCACCAGCTGCATGACCTTGGCCAGTTCCGCAAAGTACAGAGTAAGCATAAGGAAGCAAAAGGAACCGGGGGGGGAAGGGTACAAGCTGTCAAGCAGGTAACACCAGATACAATGGCAGCTAGCTGACAGTAGTATACTTTCCAATTTGGCACATTCATTCCCCCTCTTTCTTTTCTATCTTGTAATACCTTCCACTTTATTCTAGCTTTTTTAGGGTGCCAAACAAACTTTCTCGTCAAATTATCTAATTCCGTTAGAAATCTCAAATTTTTTAACACAGGAATATTCTGGGCCAGAAATAGAAATCTAGGAAGTATATTCATCTTTAACGTTGCTATTTTACCCATCATTGACAGTGGTAGATCTTTCCATCTTAACAAGTCATTTCTTATTTCTTCGAGTAGTTTATCATAATTATCTTCAACTAAAGAGCTTGCTTTATGGGCTACGTTAATTCCTAAATATTTTACCTTTTTCACTACTTCCATTGATGTTACTCTTTGTATTTCATGTACTATATTTGGTTGACAGTTCTTTGTTAAAAGTTTAGTCTTTTTCAGATTAATTTTAAGCCCTGCTACTTTACCATATGCTATAATTTCTTCCATTAGTAGAGGGATAGTTTTAGTGGGGTTTTCCACTATAAATAATAGGTCATCAGCAAATGCCAATACTTTAAATTCTTCCCCCTTTACCTTTAATCCCTTTATCTGCCCATTACTTCTGATGGAATTATTCAATATTTCAAGTGCATATATAAACAACAATGGTGATAAGGGGCATCCCTGTCTAGAGCCTTTTTGTACGTTTATATCTTCTGTCAAGTCACCATTAACTATCACCTTGGCATATTGTGTAGAATATATTGCCTTAATCATGGAGTAAAAATAGTTTCCACATTCCTCTATCTTTAGTTTTTGTAGCAGAAAGTTCCAAGATAAGTTGTCAAAAGCTTTCCGTTACATCATTTATAATGCGACGTACCTTGAAAGGCCCAATGTACTTCCAGCTAAGTTTCCTACAAGGACGCAACATTTTGATATTTTTGGTAGACACATAGACAAAATCACCAGGCTTGAGGTCCCATCCCTCCACCCTTCCTCGATCAGCCTGAAGTTTGTATGCCATCTTGGCAGCATTCAAAGTAGAACATAACAATGGCCAAGCATCCTGTAAAGATTTACACCACAAGCCTGCATCCGTAGGCTGTAGAGGAGCACCCCCCCAGGAATGGCACAGGAGTGCTGTCATATCCCAAAGCAGCCTTGAAAGGAGACATGTTAATGGAGTTGTGTAACGTGTTGTTGTAACAATACTCAGCCAACGGTAGCAAGTCACACCAGTCATCCTGTTGATAATTGGTAAAACAGCGCAAATACTGTTCTAGAGTCTGATTAACCCTTTCGGTTTGACCGTCAGTCTCTGGGTGGTAAGCGCTGCTTAAGCCTTGTTCCACCCTCATAATTTTCATCAATTCCCTCCAAAACTTAGAAACAAATTGTGTACCACGGTCGGATATCACTTTAGCTGGCAAAAGATGAAGGTGCACAACGTGGTGTAGAAACAACTTTGCTAGTTTTTGAGCCGTTGGGAGGGAGGGAAGGGGAACAAAATGACTTTGTTTGGAAAATAAATCTACTACAACCCAAATTACAGTTTTCCCCTTGCTGGGAGGAAGGTCAGTGATAAAGTCCATAGAGATCACACAAAGTAATATTGTTTGGTGAACTCAATCTTCCTAGCCAGCTCCGTGTTTAAAGATATGTTTAAGTTGTGCTGAAGAAGTTGCAGTTTAGCCTTATGTTCTTTTGGATTGGTTGACTTTTTCATCTTCTTCTCTTCTTTATTTATTTGTTCCACCAAAGTTTGATAGTTCTTTTTGTCCTGTTTATTTTTCCAAATGTTCTGGGAGGTGAACCAGCCCCGAGGCACGTAAAGTTTATTGTCAGAATAAACAAACCCTTCGGGGCTGCGGACACAGTCCGCAAGGACCTCATCATCGTCCGCCGTAAATTCAGCACGATAGCGCCCCCCCCAATCCGGCGACAGAGGGGCAGGAGGAGGAGAAATATGAGATGAGCTCGGCATGGGAAGTTT